CATACAGACTTTCAAAGTAGTCTCTGATGATCTCTTGAATTTCTTTAGTTTCTGTTGTGATATCCCCATTCTTATTTCTGATTCGATTTATTAGGGTTCTCTCTCTCTTTCTTTGTGAGTGTTGCTAGTGGTTTATCTATTTTATTTATTTTCTCGAATAACCAGCTCTTGGTTTCATTGATCTTTCGGATTGTTTCTTTGTTTTCCATTTCGTTGATTTCTGCTCTAAGTTTTATGATCTCTTTCCTTCTGCCTGATTTAGGCTCTTTCTGTTGATCCTTTTCTAAGGTCTTGAGCTGTGAGGTCAAGTTGTTTATGTGCACCGTTTCTACAGTCCTAAGATATGCTTGCAGAGCTATAAATTTTCCCCTTAATACAGCTTTCGCTGCATCCCATAAGTTCTGGTAGTTTGTGTCTTCATTCTCATTTGTTTCCAGGTATCTTTTGACTTCATCCTTGACTTCGTTCCTGACCCACTCATTGTTCAGCATCGAGTTGTTTAATTTCCAGGTGTTTGATTTGGTTCTCCGTGTCTTTGTGTGATTCACTTCTATCCTCAGTGCATCACGGTCTGAAAAGATGGCTGATACTCTTTCTATCTTCCTGATTCTGTTGAGGTATGTTTTGTGTCCTAGCACATGATCTATTTTGGAAAATGTTCCGTGCGCGCTGGAGAAGAATGTTTATTCTTTCTTTTTTGGGTGTAAATCCCTGTATAAGTCCATAAGCCCTTTCTCTTCTCTTACTTCTTTCAAAGCCAATAATTCCTTGCTGGGTTTTGTTCTTGTTGATCTATCCAGAGGTGATAAGGCGATGTTGAAGTCTCCAAGTACTATTGTGTTGGTAGTGATGTCCTCCTTAAAATCTGTTAGCAGTTGTTTTAAATATTTAGCTGTTCCCTCATTAGGTGCGTGTACATTTAAGAGTGTGATTTCTTCCTGCTGTATGTATCCCTTGATGAAGAGAAAATAGCTTTCACTGTCCCTTCTAATCCTTTTCGAGGTGAAATTAATGTTGTCAGATACTAGTATGGCCACCCCAGCTTTTTTGAGGGAGTTTGTGCTTGCAGGATTGTTTCCTTTGACTTTGAGTCTGTGTTTGCTCTGGCTGTTGAGGTGAGTTTCTTGTAGGCAGCAGAAAGTTGGGTTCTGTCTCTGTATCCATTTTGCCACTCTGTGTCTCTTAACTGGTGAATTTAGACTGTTGACATTGAGAGAGAGAATGGTTATGGGGTTTTGTGTCATCTTTCTGTGCGTGTGTGTTGTGGTTGTAGGGTTTGTCTTTTCTCATAGTAGCCCCTTTAGGCCTTGCTTTAGGTTTGGTTTTGAGTCTATGAAGTTCCTGAGCTGCTGTTTATCTATAAAATAGTGTACCGTTCCTTCAATTTTGAGGGAAAGTTTAGCCGGATAGAGTATTCTTGGTGAAGCATTCATTTCCGTGAGTTTTTTGACTATATCTCGCCACTGCCTTCGGGCTTGTAGGGTTTCCTCTGATAGGTCTGCTGTGAATCTAAGGGATGCTCCTTTGTATGTGATTTCCTTCTTTGCTCTTGCTGCTTGCAGTATTGTGTCTCTATCGGCAGTATCGATCATTCTAAGTATGATATGTCTTGGAGTGTTTTTGTTGGGGTCTCTTTTAGCTGGCACCCTTCGGGCTCCTTGAACCTGAATGGCTGCATTGTGCAGCTCTGGGAAGTTTTCAGCAATGATTTGTTTGACGGTGTTTTTTTCGTTGGGATTGTTTCCCTGAGCTTCAGGTAGTCCCATGATTCTAATATTGTTCTTCTTGGAATCATCTGCTAGGACTCTGATTCTCTGTAGAGCCATTTTGAGGTCCCTTGCCACTGTTTGTTGTTGCGTGTTGGCTTGTTGCAGCTGATCTTTCAGCTCACTGATTCTCTCTTCAGCTGTGGTCATTCTATTTTTAAGAGGAGAAACTGCGTTTCTCATTTCATCTATGGAATCTTTTAATCCTGACATTTCTGCTCTCATTTCTTCTCGTAATTTGTCGATTTTTTCTGTGGTGTTACTGGCTGTCTGTCTGACTGTTTCATTGAGTTGATTGAACATCTTCATGACTTCATATCTGAATTCTATGTCAGAGAGGTCCCTTAGGTGAGCTGTATTGACGGAATGTTCTAGATTGTTTTCGTTGTTCTCCCCTTGTGGTGGGGATTTTCTTTGTTTCTTCATATTGCTGTGTAGGTTGGGAACTAGATTCCTTGGGGACTAGGTTCCTTAGTATGGGAAAAGAACCTGCAGCCGCGTAAGCGTTGGCCCGTCGGAAATTAAGCCACGCCCACTTTTGAGGAGGCCATGCTTCTACGGAACCCTGGGTTTGGGATGAGATGGGCGCCGTGGTCAGGAGTGAAGAGGGCAGGGCAGATGCTCAAAACTGCTTCTCTTCAGGCATCTCGGGGGACACCTGGGGTCCTGCAGGGAAAGATGCAGGTCCCAGGGTTGCGAGCCGGCAGCTGTGCTGACCTGGATTTCAGATGAGATGGGCGCCACAGTCAGGAGTGAAGAGGGCAGGGCAGACACTCAAAACTGCTCTCTTCAGGCATCTTGGGGGACACCTGGGGTCCTGGATTTCAGATGAGATGGGCGCCGCAGTCAGGAGTGAAGAGGGCAGGGCAGACGCTCAAAACTGCTTCTCTTCAGGCTCATTAAAGTACTTTGAATAAAATGTCCAGTAAGCACTTCTGCTTTTAGCTAATCAACAGTCAAGATACCTAAATATGTTAAATAGCTCTGCAATCCAAATTTCAGACCTGTTCAAGCTTATCTATACAAATAGTTTTGATTGGTATGTCCTAGCAGCATCATTTAAATATTGCAGGAAAACAGAGTGATGCAAATTGTATAAACCCTATGCATTAAAGCAGTATAATTATCCAGCCAATTATTATATGAAGCTTTTTTTATGTGCCAGACATTATTAATGGTTCAGGACTCTTGCCATTAAGGATAACTCAAATAGGCTCTAATTTGTTAGCAATTACTGCATTTCCTTAAAGGTAGTAAAAGTATACCAAAAATATTGTCCTGGTCTCAATGCTTTTGTGCATTACTAGCTAGTTTGTCATTGCTGAAGAAATGTATGGGTTCTATTGATAAAACTGTAGACTGGAGATACATATAGTGCATTCATTTTTTACTTGCTATTCATTTGAATGCAGTTACTGATTTTCCTAAAAATAGTAAAGTTATGATTTAATTATTATATTGTCTTTATTTTTTGTTTTTATAATTTGTCAGTGATGAAAAAGTACAGTTTTATTTTATTAAATTTAGAGCCTATTGTGTTTTGAAATTTAGAGTAAGGATTCAAATTGATGATATTAAGTTAATAGAGGACTGTTAAAATGTTTCTTAGAGTAGCAAATTTGTCGACAAAATATATATTCAGTCATAAGTACTGTTGATGACTCTAAGATTTCCCACTTTCTTAAAATTCTCTGTTCTCTTAGATTTTATTTAATGCTCTATTATTCTGTTTTTCTTCTTTTATTTTTAACAACTTTCCCCTCTTTTTTAAAGAAAGAATAATGTATATGAATCCCCAAAGCTCTTGGTTGTTTTCAGTTGCTAATATGACAGCAGATCAGGAAGACTACTTGAAGGAGGTAGAAAGTGGTAGTTGGATCATAAGGTGTGTTATAAGTCAAGTAAGTTAGTTTGAATTGAGGGCAGAGGGGAAACCTCCTAAAGAAAATAAGTAACATGAATAGACTTTATTGTTTTCACTTTCCAGTTTCAATTTATAAAAGTAACGTTTATGCAAAATCCAAACACGTATGGAAAGCCCTTCTTTCCTCATTCTCAGACTTACTTCTTGGAATCAGTTGATTGCAGTTAGTATTTTGAGGTTATCATCCTAAGCATTTTTTCTGGAATATGGAAAGATAAGTGCGCAGAGACACACGTTTCTTCTTAACAAAGAATGAAATAAATATCTACATTTTGGAGAAATCACTGTATCTCTACTATGGAAGGTAGACTGGAAAGGAAAGAACAAAAATGAGTTAAAAATTTTGGAGAAGTCAGAACAAAAATTACAAATTTTCTAATTTTTGTCAAATGAAATTTGACAAAGTTGGGAGATTGCTTTAGTAGAACAGGCAAAATGTAATGTGGACTTAACTTGGGATAGGCTATAGTGGGTATAGTGAGAAGTAAATGAATTTGTGATATATTTAAAAGATAAAGTCAGTATAGCTGATAGATTTGGGAAGAGTGGTGGGAACAAATTTGGATAAAGGATGAAAGTAAGAGTTTGGCTTAGACAGCTGGTTAAATTCACAGAAATAGAGAAGTTTGGGAGATGATTAGATTTTGTGGGAAGAATGGGGTGATAAGTTACATTTAGATATATTAAGTTTGGGATATTTGCACTTTATTTAAGTGAAGATGCCCACATATAATTAAAAAAGGAGTTAACTATGTTTTGAGCAAATGATTATGGGATATCAGTGTCCAACAAATATGGGGGCTGGAGCAATAGCACAGCGGGTAGGGCGTTTGCCTTGCACGCGGCCAACCTGAGTTCGATTCCCAGCATTCCATATGGTCCCCTGAGCATCGCCAGGAGTAATTCCTGAGTGAAGAGCCAGGAGTAACTCCTGTGCATTGCCGGGTGTGACCCCAAAAGAAAAGAAAACAAATAAAAGAATATCAAAATATCAAATTGCCTGGGGGAATAATACATAAGAGAAAAGAGTAGATGGTCAGTGATAGTATCCTAAAGAACTCTCAACAATGAAGGGACAGAAAAAAGAATAGGAGACTAAAGATAAATAAACTAGGTATGACAGCAGAGGCCAAGAGAGAGAATTTTGTGGGGAAGAGAGTACTCAACACTGTGGTATTGCAGAAAGGTCACTTGATAACAATTCTTATGATATGGAAGTAGAGATCAGATTTCTATTCCATGTACTCCATATCTAAGCAGTCACTGAATCCTGTCACTTCTCTTGTGATTGTCTTTCCCTTTCTCAGTAGCACTTCTTTTCATTTTTGTTAGTACTAGACCGTTTACATAGTCTTCAAATTAATAGCAGTTTGAGCACCTACTCTCTCGTAGACTCTGTTGGAAATACAAAGACATGTAAGATATGATTCCTTTTCCAAGGAGGGGGAATTAAATGGGTGAAGGGAAGTACTTTGAGCACCTACTATGTGCCAGGCACTTGTGAGTGATACGTCATTTAATCCTCATTAATACTGTGGGGTTAATAATATTCCCTGCATATATACTTTTAGCATGAGGAAACCACTATTCAAATGCTGTATGTCTTACCCAAGGTCACACATATAAAAATGATATTTGAACTAAAAATTGTTGGGCTCCAGTATCCATTTTTTACAAGGTTTTGCTTCTGATGAACTAGTTTATGAGAAGATTAAAACTGCACAGATGTTAGATAATAAATGGTTTTAGCAACAGTTATGAGACAGTCATAGCAGAAACACAACTGTGTAACTGATATTCACAAAAAATGATAAAGATGGTAATTGCTAAGCTTTGAGAAATTTTCACGATAAGAATTTCTATCACACACCTTATGATTTCTAATGCCTGGCAGAGAGTAGATGCTTAATAAATGTTTGAATGGATTCAGAGGGCGTGATGATTGTAAGTGAGGGGTGGCTACGTAGGGCTTTTAGAAGAGGTGGGGTTTAAGCTGGGCCTTAAAAGATGACTCTAAATTCGGAAAAAAATTGGATAATTTCTCAGTAGGCAAAGTATAGGATAAGAAGGAAAGTGAGGCAGAGGTCGCAAACAGGCGGCTATATACTGTATAAGGACGATCTTGTTTTGTTTGACCTATAGTGCTTTAGAAAAATTATAACTATTTATCAATATGTAAATGATTTGGTAAAACTCTGGATTTTCAACTATTCATTAAAAAATTAAGGATCTAGATGCCTTAATCAATGTTACCACATGGCAAATGAGCTAGAGCTGAGTAATTGCTACTCACGCTATTGTTCCCTTGGGGGATCACTCTTCATTCATGATCAATTTTGCTCATATACACTTACTAGCCTGGCTCCTCTTAGCAAGTTTGCGACCCCTGGTGTAAGAAGTTATGTTGGGAGGGTAGTAGGGTTTGGGAGGACAATGAATAAATTTAGCTAGGATGCAGTAAGACGTCGTTTTCAGGTGTTATTAACATGGTTTATTGGGTGGATGTGAAAATAATTTGGAAGCCAAATTGTAAAGGACCTTGAATGGTACCTTTCAGACATAGAGAAGTTTTTGAAAGGTTTTCAAATGGGGAGTGACATGTTCAAAGTAGTGTTAAGAAGATGAAACTAGCAGTAGTCTATGGAATGAAATAAAGTGCGTAATATTTCCTGGTGGAGGAAATTATGGAACTATTGTAGTTGTGTAGACTTCAGAAGAGGAAGGCCTTTTTTAATGTTAGTGGCAGACTATAAGGTAAAGGTAAAGGCCCTCCCGTTGTTCGTCGATTTGCTCGAGCGGGCCCAGTAACATCTCCATTGGAGACTTTGTTGTTACTGTGTTTGGCATATCGAATACGTCCCGGGGAGCTTGCCAAGCTCTGCCGTGCAGGCTAGATACTCTCGGTAGCTTGCCGGGCTCTCAGAGAGGGGCAGAGGAATCGAACTCTGGTCGGCCATGTTGGCTGCATGTAAGGCAAACGCCCTACCGCTGTGCTATCGCTCCAGCCATGGCAGACTATAAGTAATGGAATTCAGAGTTATTATAAAATAATAGCAATGACTTGAATACAGACTAAGGAGTTAAATAACCCCTCTCCCAACAAATGGTAAATTTGATAGGATAATTAACTGAAATAATGAAATCATTGCAAGGAATGAGTTTGGTTATATTTTGGTTTTGTTTTAAATTCATCTTAATGTGTTTGAAGGGTGTTGACAGAGAAATGTGGGTCAGGGAATGATGGTAAGTAGTGTATGTCTGTTTTGCATGATGAAAATTTAACGTTAGCTTTATAATTGGAGGTTTTTTCTGCTCAAAGTACTAAATAACTAGGGTGTGAAGCAATAGTACAGAGGGTAGGGCATTTGCTTTGCACGTGGCCAACCCAGGTTAGGTCCTCAGCACCGCATATGGTGCCCTGAGAGCCGCCAGGACTACTGAGCCTGAGTGCAGAACCAGAAGTAACCTCTGTGCATCGCTGGGTGTGACCCAGAAAGCAAAAATAGCACTAAATAACTGAAAAGTTAAATGACTTTTTAGTTAGTTACAAACCAATTCTGTAATTCAGGATAGTTTAGATGCCTTCCTTGACACTAAACCACACTACTTAACTGAAAATCACCTTCTTCCTGTGGCTTTGAGCATTTCACTCCACTTTGGTCCTTCTGAATTCAATGGGTTAATGTTTGCTGATTCTGAATTTCATCTTACGTGCTACAACTATTAGATTTGTCATATTTGCCTTCCAGTTGACGTAGAACATTCTCATGTTCGATTTCTGGGTAATCTGGTATTGAACCTGTGGGACTGTGGTGGGTAAGTACTATCAGCTACCTTGCTTGTGAGGCCAGTGGCAATAATTCTTGGCAATAATTCTATTATTACTAGAGAATCAGTAATAATAATAAATTTACAGTAATTACTATTTTAATAGATATATATTGGACACAAGTTACTTAAAAATTGGCACTTGATTAAATGAAGACCTGTGACTTTTGTAATCGTGAAGTTACAAATTATATATTAAACAGCACTAACACAATTTGTACTTAGGCAACTATAATATAGGATATAAATTTTCCTTTTGCAGGTGAAGAAATTAGTTTTTGATTTCAGAAGGCCTAAAATTAGTGCTGAGTGCCTAGATACCACACCCTATTACTTCATTCTTCATCATTTCCATGATTATTTCCAGGCAATTGAACACTGTAGATCAAATATGATCACTTATTTTGTTGCTGAATTATCCACTCTTGCCAGAGTAGGAGACAGTTTTCCTTTCACGGTCAAAACAATTCCATCTGCAGTTTATGCACAATTGCAAACTCACACTGTGCTTCTTTTTAGGCATTGCTTTCTACCCTATTTGCAGCTCTGAGAAGCAGAAGTGTGCAAGATATTGTGATTAGGAGACTAATTTCTGTAAACTAGATACTGGGGTTTGTATCTCAACTTTGTTAGCTGTGTATCTTTATAGATCATTAACTTCTCTGAGCGACTATTTCTTCATCTGCAAAATAGAAATGATGATACTAATTTACAGGTTGTTTTAATAAATTAAGATAATATGCACAAAAAGCATAGCAGAGTCCCTCACAGAATAAGTAGACATCATTATTAGGATAATAGGATAGTATTTCCTAGCTCTTAGTATAGAGCTAGCAATAGAGTAGAGGTATCCAATGAGTATTTCCTGAAAGAATAACCAAATATCCAGATGTTATGTAAGAAAATGACTTCTAACAGATGAATCTCTTAGCACTCCAGCAGTTCTTCCTATAGAAATTCTTGATTATTTATTGTTGCTTCCAATTCTGTTATCTGTATGCAGAGTATAGTTCTAGTCCCTTGTATTTAGGTACTGAGATCTCATTTTGTTTTCAAATAAAATTTTTATATAGGCACCGTTATTTGTAATTGTGTCCACAATACCTGAATTGTAGTGAGATTTTAACTATCCCAATGTTACACAACTAATTAATAGCAAAGACAGAACTGGAACCCGGGTTTATGTTGCCTTTGCCAACAACAAAATTATGAAGCACACTGCCTAAGCATCAAAGATAAACAAGAGTCATTATATACAGAGCATTTCGTTGGTTTTCGTTCAATAAAATGCTTAATTGATTCATTCGAATGCCTAACAACCCGAATCGGACGATTACACTTGAATAAATGTGGCTCACTACTGGCAGTTTCTATCTTTGTTGTCTATGCAACAACATCCAGTTATGGTGAAAGAGAAACTGAGAAATTCTACATGGAGCTGGAGAAGTTCTATAAAGAAGATCACACCTTCTACAAGATCATTGTCGGTGATTTTAATGCCAAGATAGGACCAAGAAGATCAGTCGATGAACTCCACATCGGGACCCATGGCCTGGAATGGAACGAACAGGGTGACAGACTGTCTGAGTTCATCATGTCAACCAAAACCTTCCATGGTAACTCACAGTTCCAAAAGGCTGAATCTAAACGTTGGACATGGGAGTCTCCCGATGGACGGTTCCACAATGAAATAGACCACATCATATTCAATCGGTGGTTTTGCCTAACCGATGTTGCTGTTGTCCCAAAATTCCAAACGGGATCAGACCACCGTCTTCTTCGTGCAAAATTCTACCTCACAGAATGGGGAGAAATGAATGCAAGGTTTAAGAAGAGGACTCCCAGAACAACCATCAACTGGGAGCTCTTTGGCTCTGTTGCGGCAACATGGGAAGATGCCGTCATTGACAACATTGATGAGGAATACGATCGAATGATTCAGCACCTCCATGATTGTGCAAGGAATGCCAAGAGAGAGATAACCACAAAAAACCGCCTTTCTTCGAACACTCTTGAACTTATTTGCCAACGTGGCTTGGCACATGCCTCAGGCAACCACAAGCGAACACCCGAACTGGCAAAACAGTGCAGAGAAGCCATCAAGGATGACCTCAAAAACAGGAGAGCAGCAGTACTGGTAGATGCGGCAGAAGCTGGGAAAAGCATTCGTAATGCCCGCCTGTCCTTCACCAACTACAAAACCAAGATGACTGCCCTCCGACATCATGATGGATCTATCCCATCTTCCAGAAGTGCAATGGAGAAGATTATTCATGACTTCTACTCAGATCTCTTTAATAGCCACGTCCACTTGCCCACATACCACATACCACATGATGGATATGTCGTTCCCAATGTTCTCCCTTCTGAAATCCAACATGCCATCTCGTTGGTAAAGAAACAAAGAGCACCTGGCCCAGACAAGATCAGACCTGAACACCTGAAGAACTTACCATCAGTACGCATCAATACATTGGCTCGACTCTTCACACGCTACCTGTCTGAATGCAAGGTTCCATCCCAATGGAAAACCAGCAGGACTGTACTACTATACAAGAAAGGAGACATCCATGACATTGGCAACTATCGCCCAATCTGCCTATTGTCTGTCATCTACAAACTATTCACTTGAGTCATCCTGAATAGGATTAGCAGAACACTAGATGAAGGACAACCATGTGAACAAGCTGGATTCCGAAAAGGATTCAGTACCATCGACCATATCCACACGATTACTAAGCTCATTGAGGTTTCTCGGGAGTTCAAGATGCCGCTCTATCTAACGTTCATTGATTTAAAGAAGGCCTTTGATTCTGTTGAGATGGAAGCGGTCATGGAAGCCCTAGCCAATGAGGGCGTACAAACTCAATACATCAGGATCCTTCGTGAGCTCTATTGCGGATTCACTACCAAGATCTCATCATTCTACAAAGAAGTAATCATCCATATCAAGAGAGGGGTTCGGCAGGGTGATACCATTTCACCAAAACTCTTCAGTGCCACCCTCGAGAACATCATGTGACGACTGGAATGGGAAAGCATGAGAGTGAAGATAGATGGTTGGCAACTACACCACCTCCACTTTGCTGATGACATCGTTCTAATAACACCAAACATCAGCCAAGCAGCACAAATGCTGAACGACTTTGACTGTGAATGTGGAAAGGTCAGACTACAGCTGAGTCTTGCGAAGACAATGTTTATGAGAAACAGCCTTGTTCCTGACGCTCCATTCGCTCTCAACGGAACCACCATCTCCGAATGCAACAGTTATATATACCTAGGTCGAGAAATCAACATGATGAATGACCTGGCACCTGAGTTGCGCAGGAGGAAGAGAGCGGCTTGGAATGCCTTCAAGAGCATTGAAGAAATAACTAAAAGGACAAAGAACCTCCAGCTACGAGCACATCTCTTTGATTCCACTGTTCTTCCTGCATTAACATATGCCTCAGAGACCTGGACCCTACGAAAACAGGATGAGAACGCTATTCGGGTCTCTCAAAGAGGAATTGAAAGAACTGTGCTTGGAATATCACGATTCACTCAAATGAGATATAGAATCCGGAGTTCTGATCTTCATCAACGCTCAAGAATCAGGGACGCTGTCTCATTTGCCAAGACATCAAAAATCAGATGGGCTGGACATGTAATGAGGTTTACAGACAACCGCTGGACTAGAGCCATTACTGATTGGATTCCACGGGACATCAAAAGATCACGTGGACGCCCACCTACAAGATGGTCAGACTTCTTCGTCAAGACCCTAAATGATCGGTTTGAGGCTCTGCATGTTCCTCGAACGAACAGATACCATTGGGCTACGCTAGCACGCAACCGGGATGAATGGAGACGTTACTGGCACCCGCTCAAATAAATCGATGAATAATGGGGATTAAGTGATTAAGTGAAGTGATTAAAATGCTTAAATGTACTCAGCTGTACGTATCTTCGTGATAAAAGCTATGAAATTGGTCAGTAGTAACAGACATAATTTTCTATGGAGTTTGTTGCCTAGGGCAGTAATTCCATCAATTAAAAACTTACATAAGTTTGTACACTTGTAGTAAGTTAAAACATGTGAGCAGTGTATTGATATAAAAGCTTATGTTGACTGGATTTACATAAGTCAGAGGGGTCAAGGATGATTTCTGTGGGATGTGTGAATTAAACTGAAATATGAAAAGACAAGTAGGAGTTAATTTAATGTAGATATGGGAAAATAAATAGCGTATGAGAAAGAACAAATCAAGCAAATATAAAGGCCTCTGAGTGCATAGATAATAAGGGGAAAACCATTGGGAAATATGCTTGAAACACTAAGAAAAGGGGCAAGGTATGGCTCAAAAAGTGAGTGAGATAATATCCATTTTCTATCATTTGCCTTTTAATTTATAACTATTTACACTAAGGTAAATGATAGCTTTAAATTTTAAGGTTAAGTACTATACTTGCATAATAAATACTGATATGTTTCTTTTGTTTATGATGAAAATTACTTGAATTAGTATATTAGAAACAACAAATTAATTTTTTATTGAGGAATTTTACTATCTTCAGCAATAAAAAGAAGGCATACAGAAAGGCAAAGCTTGATTTACTAACAAATTAAAACACCAGTAAATAATTTTCTCATATTGAAATGTAAATTGAATGTTGTGGAACATGAAGGTGATTATATTTTAATGTGAGTTAAATATGTTAAATTATTTTGACAAATGGGAAGATTTTTACATTACATTAGAAGAGAGAAAAGCTTACATGAAACATATTTTGGGTGAGGCAAATGATCTGTTACTGGTTCAAGTGTATCAATGTGCACAAATTTTAAAAATTATACATGTCACTTAAAATCTGTTGATATATCTATAGAGAAAATATGTGTAATTATAAGGTTATATGAAGGTAAATAAATGCTACTTTGTAGAATAACATTGTCATCATAAGTTATGACAAATACAGTAAAGCTACAAGATAGTATATTATTAAGTAATTCTGAAAAAACTCTTGATTGTGTGCATGATAGTTAACAATTTAAAATTTAAATGATCATGTACAAATAATAAGGCCTTTAGATTATCCTATTAACCCAACAGAAATAGATTGTAACTAGGTGTGACTAATTTGAGGACTGACTGCCTAGATTTTTTCTATTAGAGAGGACACCTTCATGGAAAATTATTTTACTAGCCAGCGAGACAACATCTTTCGAAATGTGGAAGTTCTGATTTATGTCTTTGATGTGGAGAGCCATGAACTGGAAAAAGACATGCACTATTACCAGTCATGCCTGGAGGCCATTCTGCAAAACTCTCCAGATGCCAAAATCTTTTGCTTGGTGCACAAAATGGATCTAGTACAGGAGGATCAAAGGGACCTGGTAAGACAGAAAGGGAGTTACACAAAATGTTGATGTGCTTTGTAAACTTTTAGAGGATAGGTAAATTCGTAACTTTTTTTAAAGGAATAAAAACCTTTCAACATATATTTTTAAATAAAGTTCTCTTACTTTTAATTATAAACTTTAATTTTACCTTTCATAAAATTTGTTTACATATATCCTGAGATTTTCCTTAAAGCATTTGCCTTGACTTGAAATGTGACATTTCAGTGAAAAAACATAGTATTATATGAAATAATAAATGTCCATTTGCCATCATTTTGCTTGTAAATATTTTAACGGTTACATTTGTTAAAATTTTGAAATATATACTTAATAATTCAACTTTACTTGTATTAAAAATCAGTATTAAAATGTAAATTTTCCTTCCCAAAAGTAGATTTAACCCTACTGAAGCCTGTGCTTATGCTGTGAGATATATATATATATATATATATATATATATATATATATATATATATCTGTGAGAGATAGTATAAACCACTTTTATCAGAAAAAAATGGAAAAAAAGATAAGGAGATATCCTAGGGGCTACTTCTATCATTACAAAGAATGAAAACTAGCCTTCCTTGGAAACTTTTATTTTGATGGGGGCATACCTAATGGTACTCAGGACTTTCTCCTGGCACTGTATTCAGGGATCACTTTTGGCTATGGTAAAGGGCATCATTTGTTGTGTTTGGGATCAAACTCAGATCAGTTTCATGCTAGGCAAGAATCTTATCATTCACCATGGTTACAATTTTGTTTCTTGTACTTTAAGATCTCTCTTAGCATGTGTTATATATGGTGTATAACACATAAGTGCAGTCACTTTGCTGTGTATTAAATACACATAATTTATGTACAGCTGAAAGTTTGTACCTTTTTACCCTCTCCAACCATGTCTCTAGGATTCCCCATTCTGACAACCATAATTATGTCTATAATCATTGTTATTTTTCAGTTTGTTTCTATTTTTTGTGGGGTATTTGTTGGGGCCTCACCTGACTGCTCATGAATTATTTATTCCTGACTCTCGGCTCAGAGATATTCCTGGTATGCTTAGGGACCATCTGTGGTACTGGTGATCAAACCAGTGTTGGCTGTGTTCAAGTCAAACACCTTAAAAGCTGAATTATCTCTTCATCCCTGTTGTTTCTTTTATTTACTTTTTTTGCTTTTAGATTCCATATACAATTTGGATCATCCAGGATTTATCTTCTCAATTTATTTCATGTAACACGGTGTCCTCAAATTCTATGTTGTTACAAATTGCAAAATTTCATTCTTTTTATGACTGAATAAAATATTCTATTGCATTTATAATGGATAGCTTGATGACAAGAATATATTTTTGGGGGTTGAGAGCCAAACTCTGTGTGGGCAGGCTCAGAAAAGATATGGGTTCCAGGGATTGAATCCAGGTCAGCCACATGTAAGTCAAGTGCCGTACTTGCTGTACTTTCACTCTGACCCATGACTGGAATACGTTTTGAAAAATATATCATTATATGATTTTACCTTTCTGTGAACACTGGAGGGTAATCAAACTAATCTCAATGAATGGCTATGTTGTATAACCTGTTGAGTCAGTCATATAAGTGGTCCATTATTATCTTAAGAATTTTTTTAATGTTGGAGCACTACTTTTTATTCATTGATTAAGCTGATTGAATTGGGCATGAACTCCACATTACTTTTCTTTAATTGAATCACAGTGAGACACAGTTACAAAGCTTTCATGTTTGAGATTCAACCGTACAATGATCGAACATCCATCCCTCCACCACTGCACACTTTAAACCACCAGTGTCCACAGTATATTCCCCGCCCCCACCCCAGTCCTCACCCTACCTCCATGGCAAGCAATTTTCCCAATACTTTCTCTCTACTTTTGGGCATTATGTTTTGCTCAAATTTTCCCACCACCATTCAAGCTTGCCTGCAAGGGGCAGATGCTAGATCATTTATTGTCTGTTGCTCATTTTGAATATCTTGGGTGCGATGGCTGTATGATTCTGGAGTCCTAGATTGTAAATGGTTGGGTTCCAGAGACATTTATGTAGGGTACTAATCCATTTTAGGATTCAATTGAGCATCTCTAGACCAGGGCTGTTGGTGTGTTAAGGTGAATTCTGGAGGCACATTGTGGGGGTGACAGCCAGGCCGATGAGCGGGCAAGGAGCCGGGAAGGACAGCCTGGCACCTCTGCTGCCATGTTACATGGAGATTTAATCCTGGAACCCACACACCTGGGCCTTGTTTGTGTAAGTTTTTGGTCACTTAGAGTCCATCTGGAGTAGGTGGGGAGGCTGCGCCTGCTCCATGTGGGGTTCCTCGGTGAAATTGGCTAGGTATGGGGCTCAGAGAGATCTCTGGCTCTGTTGTGTCTTCTGGAACTCATTACTGTGTCTCTGGACCAGGATGTTGGTGCGCTGAGGTGGCACCTGGCACCTGGAGGCACATTGTGGGCATGACAGCCAGGCCAACGAGCAGGTGGGGAGCCAGGGAGGGACAGCCCAGCACCTTTGCTGCCATGCAGCATGGAAATTTAATCTTGGAACCTGTATACCTGGGCCTTGCTTGTGTAAGCTCTTGGTCACCGGGATTCCATCAGGAGTAGGTGGGGAGATTGTACCTGCTCCATCTGGGGTGCCCCGGTGAAATTGGCTTGGTATGGGGCCCAGAGAGATCTCCAGTTCTGTGCTGTGTTCCAGAACTCGATGCTGTGTCTCTGGTTTTTCACCTCTTTCGAGGTTTATTTATGGGTCTCTGAAGCAAGGTCAGTAATAAAGTTTACAGGGTTGTGCTGGAGTTGTTTCATGGGGGTGACTGCCAGTGCTTCCATGCGTATTCGGAAGTGGGGGGAGGTAGCCCAATCAAATTCCATGAAAGCCTGAAGACTTCAGTCACAAAACCTGCATACGCAAATTTTCAGCAGATTATATTTTGGTGAGGTCAGTCCTCAGATGGTGGAGTCAGACCTGGGGTATGGGGGCAATTTTGGATTGTGGAAGCAAGCGGCTGCTAGGGGCTCAACCAGCTGGGCAGCTGTGGGCACAGGCCAACCTGGCCCCCTCAGATATACCCCAGTCGTTTAGCCATGTGCAGGTACGAGATTAACTGTGGATTTTGGTCTCTTTAGAGATGTATCTATGGGTCTCTGATGTCAGGCCAATAAATAAGCTTGTATAGCTGAGCCCGAGGTAGTTTGTGGGGATGGTTGCAACATACCTAACTTTTGGCCATTTAAATTTCTTAGTAAAAAAAAAATTCTTGGTAAACTTCGCTCCAAGTTGTTGGGGTCCAGCCAAAGGCTCAGCAGCAATTTTTGGGTGTCAGGAAGGCTGAAGGCACCATCAAGCTGCTGATGCGCTTGCCCCGCAGGTACAGGTTGACCTGGTGGCGGCATCATACCCCCTATCCTAAACATTTTTAAGCTACCCATGACTATACCAGCACAAATTTTATCCTTTCATCCATTGATAGATACTAAGCTTATTTTCATATATTAGATATCTATGGTAAATAACGGGCTGGAGCGATAGCACAGCAGGTAGGGCATTTGACTTGCAAGCGGACAATATGGCCAACCCGAGTTTGATTCCTCCGCCCCTCTCAGAGAGCCTGGCAAGCTACCGAGAGTATCTCGCCCGCACGGCAAAGCCTGGCAAGCTACCCGTGACGTATTCAATATGCCAAACACAGTAACAATTGTCACAATGGCAATATGCCAAACACAGTAACGATTATCACAATGGAGACATTACTGGGACGGCTCAAGCAAATCAATGAACAACGGGAGGACAGTTACAGTGACAGTGATGGTAAATAATGCCACAATGGAGAGAAGTAGTTTAACAAATGAGTGTTTTCATTTTCTTTGGGTAAGTATCCAGATGTAGAATTTCTGGGTCATGTAGTAATTCTATTATTAATTTTTAAGAACCTTCATACTTTATCCTTTAAAAATTAGTGCTGGGGTAAGAGAGAGAGAAAGAGAGAGAGAGAGAGAGAAGAAGAGAAGAAAAGTGTCTGCCATGCCATGGAGGCAAGCTGGGCAGGGATAGGTTAGGGACACTGGTGGTGGGAAATATACTCTGGTGAAGGGATGGGTGTTGGAACATTATATGACTGAGCAATTTTGAAACTATCATGAAACTGTAGTTCATAGTGGTTCAATAAGGAGAGGGAAATTATTAATGGTGTGACATTGTTTATAGTAGTGTTAATATTTATGCTTTAGATGTGAATTTTACTGCGCCACCATATCACCAAAATGTTAATATTACACCACCACCATTATTTTATTCCTTCTCATCTACACATTCCATCCCCTCTCCTTCATCCTACCTCCCAGTTAGAAGCATTGGTTTTGTTTTCAGAGTTTAAGGGTTTGCTTTCATTGACCATTACATATTCCATTTTTTGTTCTTTATATGACACATTTGACTAAAATCATCTGGACTTTGTCTTTTTCTGACTTATTTCACTTACATGACACCACCCCATTCTACTTATATTGTAGCAAAATGTGGTATTTCATCTTACAACACAGTAGTATTCTACTGTGTATTATATATATAACACAATTTCTCTGTCCAAGCATCTGTTATTGGGTTCTTGGGTTTTTTTTTTTAATCTTAGCCATTGTAAATAGTGCTGTAGTGAACATAGATGTACATATATCTTTTAATAACATTTTTCTTGGGGTTTGTACCCAAGAGTGGTATCATATGTTTAGTTTTAGTCTTAACATTTTTAGAAGTTTCTTTACTGTATTGCATAGAAGTTGAACCACTTTACAATCTTTCAAACAGTGGATGAGAATGAACATTCCATGCTATATCCTATTTAAAATGTACATTTTCATCAAGAGCACTCAAGGGTTCCCTTTTCTCTACTTTCTCACAAACTCTTAGTTTTTTTCTCTTTTTGTTAATAACCACCCTGTCACGTACATCTTATTGCAGTGTTTATTAAATTTTTAGATGATT